TTATATCAAATGAAAGTCTTTGTGGAATGTTTATTTACATTTAACCTTTTTTTGGTTGTTCCAGTGTCAATTTTCCCCCAAATTAAACAACATATGCTGGTTTTAAACCTTTTTTGACAGCATTTAATGGAAAACTGAAGGCTGGACCCAGTTCTTTATTACACAGTGAGTAAATTATGGCTTTTATGAGGCAGATTTAGAGATGAACACTTAACAAAAACTAACAAAGGCTCAGTGGAGAAGCAGCAAAGCACAGATCTGCATTGTTTCTAAAAGCAAAAAACAGGCCTGAATCGGTGTTTTTAATTGTTTTATGAACAGATGAGGGGGATGAAAACAGTGTACAGCCATTCCTTAATATGACGAGGATGAAAAACACTAGATAAGATTGTTTTTGGGGTAATTTTCATTCTCGTTTGCAGCATTTAACGCATGAACAGTCAGATTTAGAGATGATCTGTTCATGGTAGGGGCTCAGATTTGTGTTTTTTCAGAGGTTTCTTAAGAGAAAAAATAATGAAGTTGCTCTAAAGAGTGTTTGACAGTTGTAATAACCCCCCCCCCCCACATCTCTAAACGTTCCTCAGGAGCCTTTTATCCCACTAGATCATCTAAACTGTGGAAGCTGTGGGCTGTCGGCAGAGCCAAAACAAACTAATTACACATTTCCTTAGATATGATGCAGTTATTCTGATTCAGATTCATGATTTTAACTCGGATTTTGGCACTTTGTGTGTCCTCTTTCCCATAAGATTCAAGGGTTGGAGAATCCATGCTGGTTAAAGTCCGGGTTAAGATCACTTTATCTACTTTGCTTTACCTCGTTAACTCGGAATAAAGTGAAATTATCATTTATTCACGTGGTAAAGTTTCATTAAATGGATAAATAAACAAAAAAAGTCACCTGTGATGGATGTTGCTCTTTTCTGTAATTCTGGGAATTACAGGTTCAGTTCACCGCCTCTCAAAAGGAAACACTTTTAGAATAAAGTGGAAATAAAACCAGCTTTTACCCGGCTAGCAGCACATCTTAGACTCCTCATATTAGAGAATTAAAGCCAACAAAAGGCAATGAGCAGCTAGTAACGCCCGGCCTCCCTCCATGACTTAAAGGAGCCTTAAGAGGTCCAGTGGTGGCGTTAATAGTATTAATTACACCTGTGGCCCCCCTGCTGAGATGAGTGAAAACGCTCCGTGGGCTGTTAATGACGGGCGCCCTGTTCAAGGGCTCCTGTAAATCACAGCGCTGTGACAGGCATAAACAATGGTGGAGGCTGAGGGGGCTGTGTGGGATTAATCCAGCCGTTATTTAATCATTTATACCCGTGCCTTCTCCATCCGTCTGACAGGAGAAAAGGCCAATCGCGTTAAAGGGAGAAGCCCCACACACGGATAAACCAAATCAGAGAGAAAACGGCTTTTAAAATGCATGTTTTTCCTTTTTTGAACAGTAGAAAGAAGCATTTTAAATGCCTTTTTAAGGCTCTTTGAGTAATATCAGATGGATTTAGATGTTCTTAAATGGAGATTGTGGATGGTTAAGATGTAATTCCCCAAATAGAAGCAGAGTTTGTGTCATCCCTCCCCGAATATGAGTTTAAAAATGTTTAATTCATTAAGAAATCTAACCAAAATTCATCGAAGAACACAATCTCCAGGATGGCTGAGGGTCGGACTGTACATTTCAGATGGATTTAGATGTTCTTAGATGGCCTCTGGATGAGATTAAGATGTTATTCCACACAGAGAAGTTTACATTTCAGTACATTCCCCCCCATGAAGAAGCCCTTCCTTCTCCTTTTAAAGGCCAAATGAGGAGCTGGAAACTGGAAAAAAGGTCAAGAAATATTCATCTCTCTTTTTTTTGTTTGTTATTTTCATCGGTACACAAGCATCAAAATGCCACGTTTAGAGTTTAGAATGTTTTATTATAGTTTATTGTGATAGCATTTTCATTTTTTCTTTTTTTTAAGTTTTGTTTTTTCCAAAGAACAAACACAGCAAATAACGTGG